GGTGCACCTGACCCAAGCCATGGTATTTTCAATAACCTCATATGCATGCAAAAGCTGGACAGTGAATAAGGAAGACTGTAGAAGTATTGATGCTTTTGAGTTATGGTGTTGGAGGAGAATATTGAACATGCCATGGGCTGCCAAAAGAACCAACAGATCTGTGTTGGAAGAATTGCATCCAGAGTGCTCCTTGGAGGCCAGGATGGCCAAACTTAGTCTTTCATACTTCGGACATATTTTCAGGAGGGACCAGTCACTGGAGAAGGATATCATGTTTGGTAGGGTGTAGGGTCAGAGAAAAAGAGGAAGACCCCCAGTGAGATGGATTGACAAGGTGGCAGCATCAATGGGCTCAAGTGTGGCAACAATTGTGAAGTTGGCCCAGGATCAGGCAGTGTTTCGTTCTGTTGTGCATAGGGTTGCTATGAGTCAGTACCGACTTGATGGCACCTAACAACAACAACAACATGTGTTAACTTGACTGGGTCAAGATTCTCAGGGGTTTGGCAGTTTGGTGATGATGTCAGGTGGCATCTTGATCCCTCATAATGTGATCTAATGTGATTAACCAATAAGAGGATTAAGGGTGGGTTGCAATTCCCTTAATCCCTTCACCACCATGTAAGGAAATTTCCCAGGGGTGTGACCTGCAACACATTTGGTCTTAACAAGAGATGAAAGGAGAGAGAAGTAAGCAGAGAGGAGGGACCTGCTCCATCAAGGTATAAAGGCAGGGAATGGAGTGTGTCCTTTGAACTTGGAACCCCTGCACTGTGAAGCTCCTGAATTCAAAGGAAGATTGATGCCAAGGTGCATGGAGATCTCCAAGGGATACTGGACCTCCAGATGCTGAAAGGAGAGAAGAACCTTTTCCCTGAGTCAGCAAAGAGAGAAAATCGGCACTCTGAATTTGGACATCTAACCTCTTCATTGTTAAAGAATACATTGCTGTCCTAGCAGCACAAATTACGAAGACAATCTCCATCTCTACCTGTGGTTGTTAGTCACCTGGAGACCTGGTGCTCTGGACTGCCAGCTGCAAGGTCGATGGTTGGAACCCACCAGCTACTCCTGGAAAACCCGATACAGGGTATCTATGAGTTGGAACCCACTTGAAGACACTTAACAACAACAATAAAGGTAATAAAATTTTCTACATCTCCATGTTCTGCAGTCAGCCCTGACTCATAGCCCAAGTCCTGTGCCCTGGTTGTACAAGACATTGCAGTACCATCTCTGCATTAGACATGGCAGCCCTTCCTTGTTGGCACCGGGAGCTGAATACTATTTCTGGCTCCTGGCACTCTTATTCCTGTGGCTGATCTAACTGCTGAGGGCTTATTTTTAGTGGCTGTAATGAGGTTGGAGACATAGTTGGCTTGCAATATGAAGAAGTCCCAGGCCTTCTGCAGCTGGAGGGGCCAGACCCCACCCTGCTGGACAAGGGACCCACTGCACTGCCTCCCAGGGTGAGGACAACAGGCTCTCCTGACCATAACATCTGCCTCTCAAGGTGGCCATCTCTTCTTCATCCCGGAGTTCTAGAATGTGGTTCAGCCTCTGCCTCATTTTCTAGACACTCGTTTCATCTTCTTCCTTCTCGTCTTTATGTTCACGTTCAGACTCTCTCCTAGGAATAGATTGACAAGGCTTGGCTCTATGGTTATGCTGGCTGCCTAGAGGGGCAGAGTAGTGGGGGATGCAAATGGTTAATGAGCTTGGCTGCTAATCACAAGTTTGGAGGTCTAAATCCTCTCAGAGATACCTTGGAAGAAAGGCCTAGCAACCTACTTCTAAAAAACCAGCCATTGAAAATCCTATGGAGTTCTACTATGTGCAGTTCTACTCTGATGCATATGGGGTTGTCATGAGTCGGAGTTCATTCCATAACAACCGATAATTTAAAAAAAGAAAGAAAGAGGCAGAACTTAAAATGTTTAGAAGCAGCAGCTAAGTAACAAGGCATTTTGTTCAGGGAAAAGTCACTTGATTGCTCCCTCATAGGTAAAATAGATTACTCACAGTAACAGCCAGCCCACTGCCAGCCCACATGACAGACACCTCTGGGCAAATTAGCAGAAGGCACCCTCTCTAGGCAAGTTGCAGCCCTGCAGGCAAAGTCATGGGGTAATTAAGGCTGAATCAGGCTGCTAATCTCACCGTCAGTGTTTCGAAACTACCATCCGCTGGAGAAAGATGAGGCTTCCTGCTCCCGTAAAGATTTACAGCCTCAGAAACCCTGTACAGGGTCGCTATGAGTCAGAACTGACTCCACGGCACATCACAACAACAAGGGGTCCTGGCGCTGTGGGCTAATGTGTCAGACTGCAAAGTCGTTTGAACTGCAAGGTCAGCAAGTTCAAACTCACCAGTTTCTCCTTGGAAACCCTATACAGGGTCGCTATGGGTCAGAATCGACTCAGTGGCACTTAACAACAACAAGGGGTCCTGGTGTGGGACTGTAGTATCGATAAGCACTGGACTGCTAGATGGGATTGGTGGTTCCAACTCATCAGCCACTCCTCAGAAACTGTATATAGGGTCACTATGAGTCAGAACCAACGTGACAGCACATGACAACAACAACAGCTGCAGCAACAACAGCAGGAGTACTGGGGTGGCACTGTAGGATAAGCACAGGATGGCTAATTACAAGGTTGATGGTTCAAACCCACCAGCTGCTCCTTGGAAATCCTATACAGGGTTGCTAAGAGTCAGAAGTGACTCAACAGCACTTAACAACAACAATCAGGCCCCAAACATCCACTCAGCTACGCAGCCTTCTGCAGATGACAACCTATACAACCATTCACTGTGACCTCAAAATGTCTGACTCGCAACTGACACATGTCTGTGTCAACGCTCAAATGAAGACAACTGTTAGGGGACAGTATGGTGAAGACACACATTAGCTAAGCTGTTTAATCTGCCCATCAGTGTTTGAGAACCACTAAAGAGTCACCCTAACATAGATTCTTATGCTGTGTTGAGCTGTTTGCAACATGTTGATTGTGTTCCCAGAGTGATTTCCCAAGGCCCAAATCTGATCACATTCCTCACGCCCTTAAAAAATCTCCAGTGACTGTCACTGCCCAGAGGACCAAGCCCAAGCCTGACAAGCAAAACCATTGCTAATATGATCCAAACAGATGTTTCAACAGTCTCACGGCTTGCCTCCCAAACTCCCCTTCTTTTTACCACTATTGTGCCCCAGGAGAATCGACTTTACCACTTCCTAAACATGTACTGCTAGGAGCTCTGGTAGCGAAGTGGTTATGAATTGGGCTGCGAACCTCAAGGCCAGCAGTTTGAAACTACCAGCTGTTCTGTGGGAGAAAGATGAAGCTTTCTGCTCCCGTAATGATCTGCAGCCTCGGAAATCCTGTACAGGGTCACTATGAGTCAGAACCGACTCCATGGCACATAACAACAACAACAAACATTGACTGCTAGTTCAGTCTTCTGAACCTCTGCCCATGCCCTTCTACCTTTGTTTCTCTAAAGGGTTTCTACCCTTTCTCCAAAACCCCAGCACAAATGCATCTCTGTGAGTTGTCCCTCAGTTCTCCCAGGTAAAATGGTGAGTTCTCTCTTTTTGCTCATCAGTAGAGCCCTTAACAAGTCTTTGTTAATGTACTTAACTGCGTTCTGTTGAATAAGAGATATCTGTCTCTGTTACTTGCCTGGAAATAACTATCCGAGGTATAGTCCATGATCTGCTTATCTTTGTGTCCTCAGACTGCAGCACAGTGCTTGGTAGACAGTAGGGAGTTAAAGCAGGTGAATGACTATAGACCCCAAACCTGTTGCCATTGAGTTCATTCTGACTCATGGCAACCCCCTTACCATGTATTTGAGCTATTTTGCCAGGACAGGTGGTTAATAGCATGATCCCTGGAGTCAGCCAGTCCTTGTTTCAAATCCCAACTCTATCACTTGCAGATGAGTTTAACTATCTTACTTCATGTCTATTTCCTCAAAGGACAGACAGGAGGAATAGTAACCTTACAGGGCTGCTGGGAGGATTAAATAAGAAGTTATGTTGCAGTATCAGATACAAATAAGCATCCTATGAATGGTAACAATAATTATTGGACCCAAATGTTCATGTTCTCTCAACAGACCCCTATATGTTTACCAACATATGGCTTTGAGACAAACATCTTGGAATAGATTTATTGGTGTGGGATCAATCCACTCATGAGCTAGATTGTTGACCTTGATCCTATTGGCACTGTGCTCATTGCAATTGTGTTGGAAGATCAGATGGAAGACTCAAATGGGTCAGATGTCTACAGGTAGCAGATGAATAATTCTCCCTAGTTACATTTCACATACACAAATCAATAGTCTCCTGGTTGCTGGCTTTGACGATTACTAAAAATACAACTGTGCTTCCCATGTATCTTTGAAATTCACAAGTCATGTATTTCCAGCCCAAGAGTCAAAACCAATCAATCCAGTCTTTGAAAAAGCAGTTGATAGGGGCTTTTTCACAACCTCCGTCAACATTTAATTTAGATAATTGCCATGTTTAATTAACATAATCCACAACTTTCATTAACATTTAGACTTGGAAGTTGAACACACAGAAGGAAAATTAATGAATTGTTTATTTGTCTTTTCCATGACGTAACCCTTCAATCTTTATCTAGAACACTCCTGTGAGGTGCATATTCTAAAAATTGTATTACAAATGTGTAGAGTTTTTGTTTTTATTTTGAAAGTTCATTTCTGATTCCATTTGTGTTAGAAGATATTCAGTTATCACACTAAAGGAAAGGTAAGGGACAGCCCAGACACAGGTACTTGCTAAGCCAGCAAGCTATTCTCTGGGCATAGTGAGGATTCTGTCCTTAACCTAGAGACCCTGGCATGACCACTAGTCAGACTGCCAATGTAATCAACCACGAATCTTAGACTCCCATTTGCGAGTCTGGTTTGGAAAGTGCTCTTGACCACGGAGGTTCCTCCCTCTGCTCCTGCTTGTCTGGCTTGACTCAGTGCAAGAGGGCCACCAGAAGTTTCCGGAAGTCCCCAGAGGTGTCAGACTGAACCATGTCGGACAGAGACTTCTGGTATTTCTCTTGGAACTTTGCTTTTATTCCCCGAAGGTCAACCTATAGGAGAGAAAACAGCAGCAAGGGGGCCAACATTTATGGGGTGTACACCATCAACCAAAGGCACTATCGAAGCCCGGGACCCTCATGTGTGCCTTGAAACAACAGCCCTTTGAAGAAGGAGCCATTGTTCTCCCTGTTTTGTGGATGAGAAAAAGGAAGCTGAGGCCAGGTCTTCCAAGGCAACAGAGCTGTCTGTGTGTGCGCATGTGCGTACCTGCACCTGTTCGTGTTCCAGTGCAGCTTTCAGATAGGCACTCAAATTTGAATTTCATATTGTTTTATGTGTTACAAAAGATTATTCTTCACTTGAGCTTTTTTCCTGCCAACTATTTAAAAATTAGGAGTCTCTAGGTAGCATAAATGCTTGAAACCAGTTGACCATTAGCCAAACCCATTCTGCTAGAAGTTCAAACCCACCTAGAGGCACCTCAGAAGACAGGCTTAGCGATCTGCTTCCAAAAGCTCACAGTCTTGACAACGTTACGGAGTAGCTCTGTTCTGCATGCATGGGGTTGCCCACGAGTCAGAATTGACTTGACAGAAACTAACAAAAACCAACATTTAAAAAAGATCCAAGTTCTTAGGTAGTAGAGCTCACCAAGTTCAGGCTGTACAGGTCATGGTTTACTGAGGATCCTTTGTGTCAAGTTAAGAGAGCTGTCAAAATTCCATTCCAAAGAAAGGCGGCCCAATGGAATGCAGAAGTCACTAATACCATATGCAAGTAAAATTTTGCTGAAGATACTTTTAAAAATGATTGCAGCAGTACATTGACAGGGAGCTGCTGGAAATTCAAGCGGAATTTCTACGAGGATGTTGAATGAGGGATATTATTGCTGACATTAAATGGATCTTGGATAAAAGCAGAGAATACCAGAAAGATGTTTGCCTGCGCTTTATTGCTTATGCAAAAGCCTTAGACTTTGTGGATCATAATAATTTGGATTACACTGAGAAGAATGAGTATTCCAGAATACTCATATATAAATAAAGAGGCAGTTGTTTCAACAGAACAAGGAGATACTGTCGTCGTTCGTCCTTAAGTGCTGTTGAGTCAGTTCTGACCCATAGCGACCCTGAACGGGGTTTCTGAGGCTGTAAATCTTTATGGGAGCAGAAAGCCTCATCTTTCTCCCACGGAGCAGCTGGTAGTTTCTAACTGCTGATCTTGTGGTTCGCAGCCCGATTTGTAACCACTATGCTACCAGAGAGATACTAAATGATTTAAAATCAGGAGCGATGTGGGCCAGGGTTGTATCTTTTTTGCCATACTTATTTAATCTGTATGATGAGCAAATAATCCAATAAACTAGATTATATGAAGACAAATCTGACGTCAGAGTTGGAAGAAGACTCATTAACAACAAGAGATGTGCAGATAACACAACCTTGCTTGTTGGAAGCAAAAGGACTTGAAATACTTGCTGATGAAGGTCAACGACTACAGCCTTCAGTATGGATTGAACTTCAACATAAAGAAAACAAAAATCCTCACCACTGGACCAATAAATAATATCATGATAAACAGAGACAAGATTGAAGTTATCTAAGATTTCATTTTGCTTGGATCCACAACCAATGCTCATGGAAGCAGCAGTAAATAAATTAAAGGACATATTGTATAAAGGCAAATCTGCTGCAAAAAGACCTCTTTAAAGTGCTCAAGACCATTGGGTGCCTAAAATCATGGGACGATAAAGGCACTAAGTAACTGGCTTACAAGTTTTCAAGAGGGAGTTTAGTTTCAGAGTGTGTCGGGGTGGGGGAAGGTAGAGTACCCACTGATTGATTTTCATCTTGTCTAGATGGGTCTGGTGAAAAGAGACTGGGATAAGATTCTTATGATTCAATAATGAGTAATTGTTATCATGACTAATTGCAACTGTCATAACTATAAAGGCAGAAGTTTTGTAACAAAAAGGGGAGAGTAATTAATCTTACAGTCCAAAAAATAGAGGACCCTAGAACCATCAAGGGAGAAGAGCACAAGCGGAATGCGGGACCCCCAGAGAAGCAGCAACACTAGAAATGGAGCTAGAGATGAGGACATGGAGAGAGGGAGCAGCTGAAGATTCTGTACTTGTGGAAAGAGAGGGACTGGGTGCTGGCAACCAGGAGGCAGGCTTGTAGAATGTACCCTTTGGTTATTTAAATTATTATGTATTTCTGAGTGTTTTGGTTCCCCCACCTCTAAAAAAAAAACAGAAAACCCAGAGGGAATGGAAGCAAATACGGTTGAATGATGATGCATGGAGGAGATTGTAGTCATTGCAATGCAACGATTGTGTAAGACCGATGTTCTCTCATGTAAACTATCACTCAGTTCACAATGAAAGCTTATAAAAACAACAACCAAGAATAAATGCATGAGCCACACAAAATTAACATGTTTTCTTGCATATACTGATACTAATAAATATTGTATCATTAAAAAAAAAAAAAAAAAAAAAGCGCTCAAAACCAAAGATGTAACTTTGAAGACTAAGGTTCACCTGACCCAAGCCATGGTATTTTTGGTTGCTTCATATGCATGTTCAGGTACAAGAGCTGAACAGAAAATTTCAAAGGTCAACTCAAGAAGGCAAAGTCAAATATTACAACGAAACGTGCAAAGATCTAGAGTCAGAAAACCAAAAGGGAAGAACACGGTCAGCATTTCTCAAGCTGGGGGAACTGAAGAAAAAATTCAAGCCTCAACTTTCATTATTGAAGGTTTCTCTGGGCAAATTATTGAAAGATGCGGAAAGCATCAAAAGAAGATGGAAAGAATACACAGAGTTACTGTACCAAAAGGAAATGGTTGAGAGAGAAATACTGTTAACTGATGACGGCACATGGAGGAGATTATAATCATTGTAATGAAACAAGGTGTAAAGCTGATGATCTGCCCTGTAAACTTTCACTCAATCCACAATAAAAATCTTAAAAAAAAAAAAAAAAAAAAGGAAATGGTTGATATTCAACCGTTTCAAGAGGTAGCATATAATCAAGAGCCAAAGATACTGAAGGAAAAAGTCCAAGATACATTGAAGGAATTGGCAAAAAACAAGGCACCAGGAATTGATGGAATAAAAATTGAAATCTTTCAAGAAAGAGAGGCGGCACTGGAGGCACTCACTCATCTATGTCAAATCTGGCCAACTGATTGGAAGAGATTCATATCTGTGCCCATTCCAAAGAGAAGTGACCAAACAGAATGTATAAATCATCGGACAATATCTTTGATATCCCATGTGAGTAAAGTTTTACTAAAGGTAATACAAAAACAGCTGCAAGCATACTTTGACAGAGAACTTCCAGAGGTTCAAGCCGGATTCAGAAGAGGACGTGGAACAAGAGATATAATTGATGATGTCCAATGGATCTTGGCTGAAAGCAGAGAATATCAGAAAGACATTTACCTGTGCTTTATTGACTACACAAAGGATTTTGTTTGTGGATCATGACAAACTATGGACAACATTGCAAAGTATGAGTATTCCAGAACACTTAATTGTGCTCATGAGTAATCTGTACATTGACCAAGAGGCAGTTGTTCAAACAGAACACGGGAACACTGAATGGTTTAAAATTAAGAAAGGTGTGCCACAGGGGTGTATTCTTTCACCATACTTATTTAACATGTATGCTCAGCAAATAATCCAATAAGATGGATTATATGAAGAAAAACGTGGCATCAGGATTGGAGGAAGACTCATAACAACCTGCAAAATGCAGATGATACAACCTTGCTTGCTGAAAGTGAAGAGGACTTAAAATATTTACTGATGATGATCAAACAGCACAGCTTTCCGTATGGATTGCATGTCAATGTCAAGAAAACAAAAATACTCACCACTGGACCAATAAACAACATTCTTACCAATGGAGTAAAGATTGAAATTGTCAAGAACTTCATTCTTCTTGGATCAACTATCAACACTCGTGGAAGCAACAGTCAAGAAATCAAATGATGTATTGCATTAGGCAAATCTGCTACACAAGACCTTTTTAAAGTGTTGAAGAGCAAAGACGTCAGCTTGAAGACTAAAGTGTGCCTGACCCAAGCCATGGTATTTTCAATAACCTCATATGCATGCGAAAGCTGGACAGTGAATAAGGAAGACTGTAGACGAATTGATGCTTTTGAGTTATGGTGTTGGAGGAGAGTATTGAAAGTGCCATGGGCTGCCAAAAAAAACAAGAGATCTGTGTTGGAAGAAGTGCAGCCAGAGTGCTCCTTGGAGGCCAGGATGACCAAACTTAGTCTCTCATACTTTGGACATATTTTCAGGAGGAACCAGTCACTGAAAGGGATATCATGTTTGGTAAGGTGGTCAGAGAAAAAGAGGAAGACCTCCATGGAGATGGATTGGCAAAGTGGCAGCATAGCATCAATGGGCTCAAGCATGGCAACAATTATGAGGTTGGCCCAGGACTGGGCAGTGCTTCGTTCTGTTGTGCATAGGGTCGGTACCGACTCTATGGCACCTAACAACAACAACATATGCATGTGAAAGTTGGACAATGACAAAAGAAGATTATAAAAGAATCAATGTATTTGAATTATGATATTTGAGAAGAGTACTGAAAGTACCATGGACAACCAAAAGAACAAACAAAATGTCTTTGAGGAAGTACAGCCAAAATGCTGACTATTCCTTGGAAACCAGCATGGCGTGACTTTGTGTCTCAGAATTTGAACACTCTACAGCCTCGGAAACCCTTTACAGGGTCGCTACGAGTCAGAACTGATTCCACGGCATATAACCACCTCCACCACCATAATGACCCAGTCCCAGAGAAGGACATCATGCTTAGTAAAGTGGAGAGTCAGTGAAAAAGAGGAAGACCCCCAAGGAGGTGAACTGGCACAGACAGGGGCAGCAAAAATGGGTTTGAACATGACAATTGTAAGAGTAACCCAGGACTGTTCTTTTGTGTATAGGGTTGTTATGAGTTGGAACTGATTTGATGGCATCGAACAACAAATTCATTGGAAGCTCTGAAGACCTAGGTGTTAGAGGTGGGGAAATGATTCAGAAGGAAAGCAAATAAGAAGCGTTCTTTTCCCCTCAGCATCTTACACCTAGTGAGGGAGTCCTGTGCACACCAGAAAAGTCAGAGTTCCACATGGCAATTAAACCAGTTGTGGTCAAGTAGATTCTGGCTCATGATGACCTGGAACTGAACAACCATTCACACTAACAAGCAGGAGCCCTGGTGTGGCACTGTGGGATAAGCATTGGACTGCAAGGTCAGTTGAACTGCAAGGTTGATGGTTCAAACTCACCAGCTGCTCTTCGGAAACCCTATAATGGATCACTATGAGTCAGAATCCACTTGATCGAACCCTAGTGGCATAGTGGGTTATATACATTGGGCTTCTAACTACAAGGTCAGCAGTTCAATTCTACCAGCCACTCCTCAGTAGAATTTATGGAGTCCTGGTATGGTGCTGTTGGATAAAGCACTGGACCATAAGGTCAGTTTGAACCACAAGGTCAGTGGTTCAAATTCACCAGTCACTCCTTAGAAACCCTATACAGGACCACCATGAGTCAAAAATGACTCTATAGCACTTAACAGCAACCACCACCACCCAGGGGATCCACAGTCCCTAGGAGAACATGAGGAATTGCTAAAGAATCACAGAGCTGTCTGTAAGCAGGAGTGTTTGGGTTTAGAGTCTACCTTGCACTCCAGACCCAGAAACTGTGCTTCAAGTATCTGGTTCTTTTTCCTCTCTCCTGCTCCAGTTGGAGGCTGAACTGAGAGAGGAGGAGGGTGGGTGGTGTGTGGAGAGAGATGAGAAGAGGAGAAGGCAGGTGAGTGGGGAATTGTTAAAAGTAGATGTTGATGAGAAAGAGAGAAGCTACAAGAGAAGCTAGTCTGACAAGTCCCCTGCTCCCTGGCTTGTACCTGCTTACCCTTGCCCAAGGTTGGGGAAAAGGCAGGACAGTGGGGTCAGTATGAGGACTCTATTCTATTATCATTTGGTTTTGCTGGATTAGGAGAATCAGCCAAACTAGATCTGTCTGGGATTCCCTGGACGATGCAAACAGTTGGGTTTAGCTACACAAGGTTAGAAGTTTAAGTCCTCCCAGAGGCACCTCAGAAGTAAGGGCTGGCGATCTGCTTCTGAAAAGCCTGCTGTTGAAAGCCTATGGGTCACAGTTCCACTCTGACAAGTATCAGGGTACCACGAGTCGGCATCAACTTGATGACAACTGGTATATCTGGCTGTGTCTGGAGTCTTCTGAGGGGATAGTCCCAATCTGAGGATGATCTATGCTCACTACTGAGATGGCTCAGAGAGTCTTGGAATAAGACATTCTATGGCCCATGTTGGTGTGAACATGGAATGCCAAAGTGCTCCAATCTCCCTAGAGGCTTTTTAAACACTTGGTTTGCTCTGTTGCCAGTCCGCCTCCTCAGGGGAGGGATCCCTCAAGACTTCTGGGTGAGTTTGGCTGATGGTTGAGTTGCTAAGAGACAGTAGAGACTGAAAGCCACAGATCTAGAGACAGGAAGGAGAGGAAGAAGGGAAACTGCAGATTTGCAGAGAGCCTGGGATAAGGAGAGAGAGAGGCTTTAAGAGAGCAAGAACGAGATGACTAGTGGAGGAAGAAGGGGAGGAGAAATTTCAGAAATCAGATGAAAAGAGCTGTCTTATTATTATTACTAAGTTACATTTTAAATCAGTGTCAGATATTAAGATGATCTAAAGAAATGGATCAGAATTTGGATTGGTATCTTTATCCTTTAAATAGTTTTTTTTGGAGGGGGGTGGGAGTAGGGGGGTGTGGTTTTCAAGTGTTAGTGTGCTTTGTTCTCCAAGACTTCTCCAACTGCCACCGAATGCCATTCACCCTTGTTCTGTGAGTCCTGTGGCTCTCTAGTCCCAAACACAAGCTGTGAACCTGGACACCTGCTTCCAAGCCTTTGGCTGTTCATCTCCCTGCCCCTTTCCTCTTACTATGCTCGAGTCTTCTCAACAGGGGCAACGTCATCCCCAGGAGGCAAACATTGGCTCTTGGGATGGGGGTGGGGAGCAAAAAATTTTAATCTTTTAAATGTATTATTATGGATTGAATTGGATACCCCCAAAATATGTATTAGGAGCTCTGGTAGTGTAGTGGTTATGAATCGGGCTGTGAACCGCAAGGTCAGTAGTTTGAAACCAGCTGGTTCCATGGAAGATAAGGCTTTCTACTCCCATAAAGATTTTTACAGCCTCAGAAACCCTGTACAGGGCCGCTATGAGTCAGAACCGACTCCGCGGCACATAACAACAACAACAACAAAATATGTGTTGGAGCCCTGCATCCTGCATGTGTGGATGTGATCCTGTTTGGAAGTAGGGGTTTCTGTTATGGTAACGAAGTCCTATCAGAGTAGTATGGGTCTTAACCCTCACTGCTTCTGAGTTATAAAAACAGCAGAAGACTCTAGAAGGGATCCCAGTAGAAGGTTCCGAATAGAGTGGGAGAAAATGGGAAACAGAACTCAAAATTGTACAAACAAAAAATGGGCTTTCTGGTCTGGAGAAACCCGACTATAGCCCTCAAGTACCCTTCAGGTCTGGAAAGAAACTCACCCTTGTGGCCCAATTTTCAGACAAGCAGTAGGTTGGTATATAGTGGGGGGTGGGGGTGGGGAGAGAGGAGACAACAGCATTAGTAAGGCATGCTCACCATGGGATGGTCAACCATTGAAAATCAAAAGGGCAGCATTTACCTAAGGGATGGGAAGGAGGGTGGACTGGAAATAAGAACCACAGGGAGGAAGTGGGATAGCTGTTGTTACATGGAGCGGAGTACAATCATTGAGATGAAACAAAGTGAATGATTTGTTGAAAGTAAAACTGATGATCTGCTCTGTAAACCTTCGCTCAACTCACAATAAAAAGTTAAAACAAAAAGAGAGAGAGAGAAGACGAAGAAACACAGAGACATCCACTGAGGAAGACAAATGGATGGGGTTAAGTATTTTTCTTTTGTAACCTGATCAGCAAGGATATTAGTACCAATCACCAAAATTAAAATCAATGTCATCTATAAGCTGAGGAATGCCAAGGGTTTTTGACAACACCAGAAACCAGGAGCGAGGGCCCTGGAAAATCAACACAGCTAAAGCCTGATTTGGACTTTCAGCCTCCAGGATGGTGAGAAAATAAATGGTTTCTGTTCTTTAAAGCCACCACTTGGGATATTTTTTGTTGTGGCATTAATACGTAACTAACACGCATACTCCATTACCATCGGGTGGATTGTGACTCCAGCTGACTTATTGTGAGGCAAATGTTTGAAAGGAACTGTCTTCATGCTGTTCTGTAATGGGATCTGGAAGGTTCTCCTGGGTACATAGAATAGAGTAGAATTGCCACATAAGGTTTTCGAGGCTGCCAATCTTTACAGAAGCAGACTGTCACATCTTTCTCCCTTAGAGCAGTTGGAGGATTTGAACCACTGACTTTTCGATTAGCAGCCAAACAATTAACCCATGTACCACCAGGGATCCAAATCATTCATAGACAGATAGTATATCTGTGGGGGTAAATTTTCTTCACAAGGGGGCAATTAGGAACAAGAAATTATAAAAAGACTCCATGGTGGGAGGTGATGATGAAAGAGGCTGAGAACCACTGATGTGTTTCTTGTACAAAGTTGAACCTCTGCCAGTGTTCAGCTAATTAAAGTGTTAGCTCAGGAGTCTCATGGTCTCTGATGTTGGGGACTTGTCTGTAGCCATCCCATCTGTTTTGTCTTCCTTAAAATGGGGGTCAAACATACCTGTACTATCTCACAATGGCTCCATAAGCTCTCCTCTGCACACTACCTTGGGCTCCAGAGCCAAAGGTGACAAAAATAGAAGCAGTTATGACTGCAATTTTATAAAAAGAGCTATTGAAGCATCACAACTTCTACAAATGTCAGGAAGGCAAGGGCTGTCTCTGTTTTACTTTCTCTATAAATGTTGTTATTGTAAAGGGCCATCCAGTCAGTTGAGGCTATAGTGACTCTGTAAAGATTTGCTGATGACACCCGTGATGGAGAAAAGAGAAGTTCCACCCCATCTCTTGGGAATCGAGAATGCCTTACCTCAGCTCTTGTCACGATGATACGGATTAGCGTCTCCTCATCGGTGCCCACACCCTTCATGGATTTGTACAGACACTCTGCAAAGTAGCCCTCTCGGTCTCGGGCACACCTTACTGGTCAGGACAGAGGAAAAAGAGGACATGAGACCTTCCTCCGAAGGAGTAAAGCTGGCTCAAGTGTCACCTGGTGACCCTAGAGCTGACTTCATTGTGAGGCAGATGTTTGTAAGGAACTGTCTTCATGTTGTTGTGTAATGGGATCTGGGAGGTTCTCCTGGGTCAAAACCACTATAGATAATTAAGACACTATCTTGTTCTTGAAGACCCTCTGAGGGACTAGAGCTGTGGTCACTGTTATGTCCTCCCTGTAAGTTCATGATTGTCAACAGCAGAAAAATCTACTGACAGGCTATCTCTGATGCTGGAGTTGGTTTCTGAGTGGAAACATAGATGAGCTGGTCAGCAACTTTACTGTAATGAAATGTCACAATCTTAAAGATTTACTTAGTTGGACTGTGGATGGCTTTTCTTCACTAAACAACCTTGCTAACCTTTGTTTTTCCTCATTGAGTTTGTTTTTGAGTTTCATTTCTAAATGTCTTTCATGTTCCCCATAATCTTCTTATTTTGTATTCTGGGATATGGGATGTTCAATCCTTTCTACAGATTGAGAGTCCCTGGGTGGTGCAAATAGTTAAGTGCTTAGGGGCTAACTGAAAGTCTGAGGGTTCAAAATATTACAGCCCACTGAAAACGCTATAGAGTGCAGCTCTATTCTGACTCACATGGGGTCACCAAGATGTGCAATCAACTCAGCAGCAACCTTGTCTTTGTTACTAGGTGTCATCAAGTTGGTTCCGACTCCTAGGGACTCTCTATAGTGTTTCTGAGGCTATAAATCTTTATGGGAGCAGAAAACCTCATCTCACTTCTAACAAGCGGCTGATGGGTTTGAACTGCTGACCTTATGGTTAGCTGTCTAGTGCTTATCCTACAGTTACCAAAACTCCCCAACAGCAATTGGTTTGTTGTTTTTATTTTTTCCTACACATCACCTTATGATGCTGGTACTTGCTCTTTTCGGACTCTCGCTTGGCTGGCCAGTTGAGTTCACAAATTAGTGAAACCTGTTTTCTACTCGTCATCCTGCTCAAAGATCCATCTCTAGTCTTGGAGATGAGCCAGGATCCCTCACTCCCCAGACTCATACGGATCCATCATGACTAACTTGGGGGAATAAAACCATTGATTCTTTACACTGTTGACAGTTCTCTCTAGAGTGCTTTAGATTATTTGATGCTGACGATTACTAACAAGCAATGAAGGGTCTACGTGTCCAGCATTAGTGTGGAACATGCATCCTTAATATGTCCTGTTTCCTAAGTAATTGCCTATGTGATGGACCCTCAGGAGCAAGAGAGAGTCAGGATTAGGAAAGCAGAGTCTAGGGTGGGTGTCAGCATCACAGACTCAAATGTACGACCTCTTTATCCTGAAAGCAATCCAAAAGCTGCTGTGTTGGGGGGACCATCAATGTGGGGAATAGAATATTTGAGACTCACTGTGATTCCCACTGGGCCAGTCCCTGGGCCATGCGAACAGTTAATGTTATTGACTGCTAACTGAAGGGCTGGAGGCTCAAGTCTGCCTAGAAGGGTCTTGGAAAAAAGGGGCTTGGTAATATGTTTCTGAGATAAATCAGACCATGAAAACCCTGTGGGTTGCAGCAGTCTGATCCCATTGTGCATGGGTTGCCAGGAGTCAGGAACCAACTCCTCGACAGCTACCATCATCAATAACAACCGGCAGTTGACTGGTGTGTACGCACCATGAACTTGAAGCTCTTTAAGATCAGGAATTGGGTCTTATTTGCCTGTGCTCCCCACAACTCGCACACCCCCTGGGTCCTGAGTGAAATGTAAGTGATTGCATTCTGGCGCTTTCTCTGATTCTCTTCCACTGGTGGTGGTGGTTATGTGCAGTGGAGTCGGTTCCAACTCATAGCGACTACAAGTACAGAATAGATTTGGAGCCTCAGAGTCAAGCCATGAGCAGGCCTTGCCATCTACTCAAGGTGTCCCTTGAGGCTCTAAGGTCAGTTTTCCATTCAAAGTCACACATGTTTACAGACTGGGTCAGAAGGCACACTAGGAAGACTCAGGTCTCTGTATGTCACTGTAGATGCAAAAAAAATCAATTCCTGGCATTGTTCTACACTCCCTCCCCACACCAAAAAAATTTGGCAATGGAAGCACATTTTTTACCTTCCAAGGCTGCTTTTTCCATTCTTTCTCTTTTTCTTGGGATATACCTCTCCATTTTTTGTGCCATTTGGGACAGTGCCCTGGACTCCTCGCCACAGGAGTGTGGACAATGGACAATACCTTTATTCCAAGGCTCAAAGAAAGAAGAAACAGAGCCTGCCAGACAGAGCCCTGTGCCCATGTCTCTGCTGTTTCCTGCCTGTAGGCAGAACCTGGAGAAAAGGGCCTGGTGTTTGCTTGGCACGGTTATGATCTGGTCTCCTTCCCCTCTCTTTTTAAACAGACATCATTCTTTCCAGGTGTTGAAAGAACCAAACAGAAAAGGAAGCCCTCAGGCCATGAGGCAAATGCAAAACCTTGTTCATGGAACCTGAGCTTGACTATTCCTGGGTACGTGTCATATGAACCTCATGCTGTTTGCAGAGACAAGACAATGGTCCCAGGCAGCTGACAGATGCTCACAGGCACCCAGGGTCTTAGTGGCATTCTAATGTCTGCTCTGGTGTACCACCCATGTGCCCTCCTGTGGGAGTTTCTCCCCAGGAATTGTCCCCTGTGGGAGGAAACGGTCTCACCCAAGTTACAAATGTTTCCTGGGTACAGTCAGTATCTACTTTGGTCACCTCAGCTTTAGAGTTCCTGGGGATCTCGCAAAGCCTTTTTCACAACTACATTCAACCTCTCCCTTGCCCCACGCTGACTAGAGGTGTTGGTTCGAAACCACTCCTTGAGTCTGTTGCTAGGAAGCCCAAGCCAAGACAGGGTTCGCTCATGTTTACTTTACCAAGAGTTAAGTAGGCTTTCTTCAGGTCCCCTGATGTTTCTTCTTCAATGGCCTTCTCGATGTCTTGGCCGATGAGCTACAAGACAACCAAAGTCCAACCATTAGCCCAGCTTTGACCTTTGGTCTTGGTGCTGTGAAAATCATTCCTCCATAGAAAGTCTGAGTTCATCGTAATTGAATCATGTGACTGTAGGGACTGCCTACCCTGCCTAGTACCTATGGACAGATGGGTCGTTGCCACCCATTAGGAAAGGGGGCTCTGGTCACTGAGGAGCAGTGTTGGATTACCCAACAAGCAAGGCAAGCACAGGCTTACTTGTGCTTACTTTCATGTAGTGAACAATTCTGCATGATTTCAAAGATTCTCCTTCTGAGTATGGTTGGCATCTTCTGTCTCTCTCCCAACTACACAGCACCTTCCTACAAAGAGTCAAGGGCGCTTTTCCAATGTTTAGTCCCTGGTAGGGACAGAGGACACAGAAAGCCAGGAAAACAGAGGATTACTTACTAATCTATAGTGGATTGGTTTGAAAAGCATGTGAAACCGTTCACTTACAGATTAGTAAATGGTGCTGGTGGTATGCTGGGGAGTCAGTTCCAACTCATAGCGACCCTACATAAGGTTTCCGAGGCTGTAAATCTTTGTTGTTGTTGTTATGTGCCGTGGGGTTGGTTCCAGCTCATAGCAACCCCGTACAGGTTTCTGAGGCTGTAGATCTTTACGGGAGAAGAAAGCCTCATCTATCTCTCTTGGAACAGCTGGTAGAACTGCTGACCTTGAGGCTAGCAGCCTGACTTGTAACCACAACACTACCAGAACTCCTTACAGATTACTAAGTAAGCACAATTTACTCTGTACTTACCTTGCATACTGGGTACCCACCCCTGCTGAGGAGTTAGTCTGGATTGGACCTTAAAGGACATAACCTTGGTCAGTACCACTCTCTAAGGCTCAGTGTCCTCATCTGTGAAACTGGGTGAGGAAGAGCTAGACACAGATGCCACACAATAGTCCTCTACATTTATATAGCACGTTCGTTTCCAACGACTTCTAGTGCGGTGTTGTAAAGATCAGCACTGGACTGCAAAACACAAGGTCAGCAGTTCAAACCTACCAGCTGCTCCTTGGAAACCCTATATAAGGTCGCTATGAATTGGAACCAACTCAGTGGTACTTTACATTTCCAAAGGGGCCCTGGTGGCACTGAAGGGTAAACACTGGACTGCCAACCTCAAGTCAGTGATTCAAACCCACCAACTTCTCCTTTGGAGAAAATGAGGCTGTTTCGTCTCATTAAAGATTTACAGTCTTGAAAACCCTCTAGAGGGTCGCTATGAGTCAGAATAGACTCTCTGGAAGTAAGTTTGTTTTGTTTCATTTTTCCATAGTGTTCTTCATCCCTGTCAGTTCCAATGTTCCAGGAAGCTATGGCTATTACAAGAGTTCCCGGATGGTGCAAACAGTTATGAGATCTAAAGTTTGGCTGTTCAACGACATCTCAGGAAAAAAGGCCCAATAATCTAAGATTTTAGCTATTGAAAATTCTGTGGCACACAGTTCTACTGGTGACATCTGTTGGTTATAACAGTCTTACCCTCCCCTTCCTTGTCCTGGCACTGGAGGACTCGGATGCTGGCCGTTTGGGTGAACTAAGTGCCATGAAGTGGTCTAGCTCTCCCCTTTCTTTCCCTGATAAGGTGAGATGGTGACGGCTGGGAGCTGGGAGGCTGAGCATGTCAAAAACACCACTTTTCTTCACTCTGGGTGATTCCAAATGGTCATATATCCACCACGGGTTCACAACTGGTTATCTACGGCATTGCAAATTCGGTTTCTTTCCAAATATTTACAAAAGCTGGAGTTCAGAGTAAATTGTGACTATGCTTAGCACAAATACTGGCTGGGACAACCTCAGGCCAGACAAATAAAGAGAAGACAGAAGGCTTTGCTTGGTTTGGAGAAATATAGGGTACTATTAGAAATGCTAAAACTTCTTTCTTAGAAACGATCTTTTGAGGATGTGGCAAATGCTTCTGTAAATAAATGGAGACTTTGAGTATACATCAGTGGAGTTCATGCAGTTTATTTTGAAAACATAAACAAATCATCCTTTGCAATGTATATGTGGGGTCGTGGTGGTGAAGCGTCTAGATTTCATGAACTTTGACCTCCTAGCAATATCTAGATATCTAAGTGTATGCTCAAGGAGCTCTGGTAGCTTAGTGGTTACGAATTGGGCTGCCAACCGCAAGGTCAGTAGTTTAAAACTACCAGTGGTTCCATGGGAGAAAGTTGAGGCGATCTGCTCCCATAAAGATTTATAGCCTCAGAAATCATGTGCAGGGTCAGTATGAGTCGGAACCGACTCCACGGTACTTAACAACAACAACAAAGTATATACTCAGGGAACCTAGAGTTGAAGGGACTTGGGGGATTTCAATATTTAACCACCCCTAGACTTTCTTGAGTTTGATGTGGGGAGTTAGGGACTCAGGAGAGCTGGGTATCACTTTCTGATAAACAGAATTCTTGGTCTGTAGAGTCAGATTCCATTTCAAGAGGACATCTTCACACATGTCTGCGTTTACCAAAAGTCCTCTATGAAACCACTTTCTGTTTCTATTGTTAATACTGGGCCCATGTTTTTCTTTTGTGTGTGTGTGTGGCATCTCAGCCTACAATACAGTTGAAAGCAGAAAAACAAAGCTGTCTGGGGAGGTGAGAGATGAGCTCCTAGTCAGATCCTAGGCATTCACGGCACGTGTCAGCCCTCTGCCATACAGCTCCAGGGGGCGCTGTTCACACAGTGCAATGGGACCTGTGTTTGTTGGAATTTGGCAACAGAGGGTACATTCTGTCTTCTTTATCAACTTCTTGAGCCCACCCCCTTCCTGGCAGCTACCAAGGCACCTCCCTGGGCCACATGGAACACGATTTGAAATCAATTGACTGGGCCGAGATCTTGTGAGGAGCAGAAAACAAATTTTCTGATCTCAGTACAAAACACATTGCCAGGGTAGATTCCAAACAAGGCTCAAAGGCCTCTAGCTAAACAGACAGCAGTGCCACCAGGCAGGTGGGAATTCCTGGGCAGTGCACATAGTGAAAGAGCTTGGTGGCTAGCCTAAAGGTTGGAGGTCTGAGTCTATCTCGAGATGCTTCCGAAGAAAGACCTGAAGATCTATTTCTGAAAACTCAGCCACTGAAAACCCTTAGGGAGCACAGCTTTACTCTGACACATATGAGGTCACCATGAGTGGGACGCTAGTTGGTGACAACTAGCAACTACAATAGGGCAGTTTAGAAGAACACCAGAGACGGTTCTATCTTTAAAAATAGCTTTTCCCGAGTTGGCAGAATGCTCACAATAGGGTCCTATGCCTTCTGACTTTGCCCACAAGCAAACGAGGCAGGACACTCTAGGATGGACTTGCTGTTTTCAAGTGCCATTGAGTTGGTTCTGACCCATAGTGACCCTGTATAGGGTTTCTGAGGAGCAGCTGGTGAGTTTGAACTGCCGACCTTGTGGTTTAAAGTGACTTTGCAGTCCAGCGCATTAGCCCACAGTGTCACACCAGGACTCCGATGTTAATTAGTACCTTGAATGGGCTTTGTTGTTGTTGTTAAGTACCGTGGGTGGAGTCGGTTCCAACTTGTAGTGACCCCCTACAGTGTTTCTGAGGCTGTAAATCTTTACGGGAGCAGAAAGCCTCATCTTTCTCCCATGGAACAGCTGGTAGTTTTGAACTGACAACCTCGAGGTTAGCAGCCCAATTCGTAACCACTATGCTTGTTGTTGTTAAGTGCCGTCAAGTCCATTCTGACCCATAGCGACCCTGTATAGGGTTTCCAAGGAGAAGCTGGTGAGCTTACAGTTCAAACAGCTTTGCAGTCTGGTGCATTACCCCACAGCGCCACACCAGGACTCCTATGCTTAGGAACACACAAATGGAAAGGGAGAAAGAAGTAATGAGGGGGCAGTGGGATCAGAGTGAGGTGGGTTGTGGGTCTGTGCACCTATGATTTATGGTAACACCTGTTTTGAGAACTTGCTTTAGGCTTACAAGAGTGACTTACACACTTTCATTATTGAAGCAGTTTGTTGTTGTTAGGGGCCATTGAAGCAGTTCTGGCTCACAGGGACCCTGCATAGGGTTTCTGGGGAGCGGCTGGTTTGAACTGCCCACCTTGTGGTTAGCAGTCCCATGCTTCTACAGTACCACACCAAGGCTCTGTTGGAACAATTTAGGAGTGTAGTCATCTGGCATGGAGTTGGAAAAGTTCTGTTGCCTGGGTTGGAATTACTGAGAGTCAGTAGTTAAGACTCAGACCAACATGGCAAATAAAGGTGAACACTTGAGCTTTTGTGCCAAAGATTCAAATTGTATCTGATGCCAGGGCAACCTGTATTACATAGCGTACCGTGGTGCTTCGAGTCAGAGGTCACCGGAGAATAAACAGAACCAGAGCCCACGAAGCAGGATGAACTCTAACATTCAATGGTAAAGACCAAGATGAACCACAGTAGATCACATGCTTTGGCAATGATCGGTAGCACTTCAGAGCATTCTCATCAGATTACCTTGTACATTTAGTCTTGAAGCTCCGAATTTTGGCATTGGTGGTTCACACAAGGAAATTCTAATACCCACAGTTAATGCTTACTAAAGGAGGCCTGATAGCGTTGTGGATCTAGAGCTGCGCTGCTAACCGCAAGGTCAGTAATCCAAGTCTACTGGTCATTACATGGGAGAAAGATGAGGCTTTCTGCTCTGGTACAGATTTACAGCCTCGGAAACTCTGTACAGCTTTGTTATGAGTTGGCTCATAGCCACTGCCGTCAATGGCCTACTGCGTGGCAACTCAAAGTGGCTAAGTGTTTCACAACTGTTAATTCATTCAATCATTATATTCATGCTATGAAGTTGTTGTTGTTATATGCTGTGGAGTCGGTTCCGACTCATAGTGACCCTGAACAGCGTTTCCGAGGCTGTAAATCTTTATGGGAGCAGAAAGCCTCATCTTTCTCCCGTGGAACAGCCGGTAGTTTCGAATTGCTGACTCTGAGGTTCGCAGCCCGATTTGTAACCACTACGCTACCAGAGCTCCTTGCTATGAAGTAGATACCATTATTATCTCTGTTTTGCGGTGGGGAAACTGAGGCACCAAACCCATTGCCATCAAGTTGATTCTGACTTAGAGCGAACCTTTATAGAATAGAATAGAACTGTCTTGTAGGGTTTCTAAGGCTATAAATCTTTACAGAAGCAAAATGCCTCATCTTTCTCTTACAGAGAGGTTGGTGGATTCAAACAGCCAACCTTTTGGTTAGCAGCTAAGCACTTGACCACTGTGTCACCAGGGCTCCTTTGTGCAGCACACAGAGCTCTTAAAGTGGTACCAAGATCATGCCACTAATAACCTAGAACATAACTTAGACTTTCATATACTTCAGGATCTCCTGCAGTACTTGTTAAATCACAGATAAACAAAAAGACAACACAAACAAAAAACCAGTTGCAATCAAGTAGTTCCTGGCTTATGATGACCTCATGTGTTATAGTGCTGCATAACGTTTACAGCAGCTGTGAACTTTCAGAAGTAGACAACCTGGCCATTCTTCCACGTCACCTCTAGTTGAACTTAAAGTTCTAACCTTTTGGTTCATCATTGCTAAGTGCTAGCTCACAGCTACCTACCCTGTATAGGGTCTCCACTGACCTTGCAGTTAGAACCCCCAGTGCTATACTACAGCACCACACCAGGACCTGGTTAACAGTCAAGCACTTAAACATTTGTGCCACCCAAGTGGTCTAAATCACAGAGAATAGGACCCCAAACCCTTGGAATCTGATTCTGTTGGTCTAGGCTGACAGTACTTAATAATGACAATGACAACTCATTCTCAAGTGATGCTGATGCTGTTTGGCAGGATCAGCTTTGAGAACTATTGAACTAGAAAGCGTGCGTGCACACACACATGCACCTGCCCACATACATGTGTGCTCTGTGTGCTTCCATGGTGATCACCTGTGATAGACATGCCCCAAGACTCTACATTCCAGCAGTGGCCCCGATCATGTGAGAGGAGAAGCTGGTCCCAGAGCAGGTCCTCCCATTTAGAGGCTCCACAGCCTCCGGCTCCGTGGCCAGGGGCCCAGCTGCCTTTGATCATGACTGTGGGCACGATTTGAAAGTGCAGGACCCTCAAGGCTTATATACAGTGATGATAAAATTCCACAGCATTATTGTCTTTTCATCTGTTGGCAACACACAGGGAACACTATTTTGAGTGAGGAGCGGCCAGCTGCGGCCGAAGTAGAAGCTTGGACTGGGGGGGATGTTGGAGTCTTCATCCACTTTCTGCTACCGACTTGCTGTGTGGTCCTGAGCAGTTACAGCTGGTTTCTCACTCGCCCAGATCGTCGTCATCAGAGCTGTTTGTCCTCCTTCCTGGTTATGGCAATGTTAGGAAGATTCAACGAGATACAGGACATAGAAGGGCTTCGCATAGTTAAAAGCACTCTACAAATAGAAAATTCCCACTGCCACCGAGTTGATTCTAATTCACAGTGAGCCTATAGCACAGAGGAGAGCTACGCCTGAGGCTTTCTGGGAAGGTAAATCTATACGGAAGCAGGCCGCCTCATCTTTCTCCTGTGGAGCAACTGGTGGGTTTGAACTTCTGACCATGAGGTTAGCAGCACAGTGCTTAACCTAGGAGTTTTGAAGGAATCCACAAGGACTCCTTCAAAAACATTATTAGATTAAAAAAAGATAATATACCCATCCTTCTAGGTGTGCGTCTGAGACATATCCGTCTTGAGAAACGTTTGTCCAATTGTAAAGTTTAAAGAAGAATGGTGGTGGGGTGGGGTGGGAGTATGTGCTGTGGAACTGGTACCAACTTACAGCGATACTGCATAGAGTTTCCAAGGCTGTAAACCTGTCTGGGAGCAGAAAGCCTCATCTTTCTCCCACAGAAGGAAGCTCCACAAACAATTGTTGTTTACCACGTGCCAGATACTGTTCTGAGCCTTTTACAGGTATCTTCTTTTCACTCTTAAAGTGACCCCCAACCCCCGGGCGTATGTGATGATGATCTTCATGGTCCCTGTCTCACAAACGGGGAAACTAAGGCACAGAGAGGTTGGGTCATTGACCAGGGGTAGAACCTGGCTCCTTTGACTCAGGGCTTTACTCCTACAAGACTGTCCTCTGCCTCGCCAGTCTGTGCCGTAAAGCAGGGTTCCTCACCCTTGGCAGCAGCACTGCTCTTTGTTCTGGGGGGCTGTCTCAGCACGACTGACATTTTGGAGGGCTCCTTCTTTGCTGTGGAGGCTTTCCTGTGTATTGTAGGATGTTTAGCAACATCCCTGGCCTCTCTCTACACACTTGATGGCAGCATCCCCCCACCTCAAGCCGCTTGTTGTTGTTAAGTGCCATCAAATTGGTTCAGACATACTGACCCTATATAGGTTTCCAAGGCTGTGTATCTTTGCCGGAGGGAAGCAGGGAGAGCAGAAAGCCTCATCTTTCTCCCTTGGAGTAGCTGATGGGCTTAAACCACCTACCTTATAGTTCACAGTCCAGTGCTTATCCTGCAAAGCTGCCATGCTCCTCACCCCACTAGATAAGATAATTTTTAAAAACCGTCTCTAGACATGACTGTTGCCCCAGTCTTTGGTTACTTACAACTTGATAAGCTTGAAAGGTGGCTCGTAGTTGCTTGAAGCTCCTCTTTGCCAGAACTTCATTGAAAGCAAGCTCATCGGTGCCCCAGCGGCCTTCCCCTGCCTGGAGGATCAAATGCAAGCATTTTAACAAAGCCTTTGGCACAAAGATTGTATATACAATGTTGTGTTTCCCAGCATGCCTTATATGCAGGAAAACCATAAAATGCATACTAAGTAGAAGTTAAATCCAGCCCACTGATCTATCGATTTATATTAATTATATCTTCCTGTGTTCCAAAAGGGATCTGAGTATAAAATTAGGAACAATTCTTCTAGGTTAATGAAGACCATATCTATGAAAAGGATTTTAAAGAGCTAAGCATATCTGTATTTCTTAAAGATCATCTTATTTCCCAAGGAGCTCCCATCTGCATGAAACAAGGAGACGTTTGATAAAAAATAATGTTTATAAAAGACTAACAATAAAAGTATTTTGTCACTGCTGTAAAAAGTTAAGAAAAGATTTTCTTGATCAAAGAAACATTCTGATGGTTGTGGGGTGGAGTAAGGGCATTATTCACGGGCTAGAGGGTAGACCCATGTTAACACCAGTAACAGGGCAGGCAGTATACAAGAGGGAGGCTGGCAGAGGAAAGCTGAAGGTAGCAGGAGACACAGGGGGGGGGGAATGCAAAAGTTACAGGACAGGCAAACACTGTTAACTGATGGCACATGGAGGGGATCGTAATTATTGTAATGAAGCAAAGTCTTGATTTGTCAGCTGTAAAACTGCTCATCTCCTCTGTAAACCTTTACTCAATTCACAGTAAAAAAAGCACTTCTGAGACTGGTCTGTCTTCACACTTACTTCGTACAGATCTTTGGCATCCTGGCCTGCTAGGTCTTTGTCAATGTCATCGCCTTCATCCCGGTTAGCCTAGAGAAACGGACACATTGTTATTAACTTGAGTTGCTGCCTGACCACAGAAAACATAAAGAGAAAGCTGTGGAATCTGGGGGTGATTTGAGAGTGGTGGCCAGCAGCTAGAGTCCACACTGCAAAGCCAATGCTTGCTCTTTGCTGCCATCTTTTGGGCACAACTGATACAGATGGCTTAGGTGGCAACATTTTCCTTCTGGTTTGGGTAGCCACCCGAGGCATTCTCAAACTCCATTAGTCGCTGAGTAGACTAGAAATGGCACTAGAGTGAACCTACTGGAAAGCAATGAATTTCCCTTACAAAATGTCAGAGTCTTCACCGAGGCTCCCAGCTCAGAGGAACCCTGAGAGTCAGCTGTGGAAAGCTTTCCTGGTATCAGCCCTATGGACCCACCCTTTTGTAAAATCACTTCCCCTTGAACACGGGAGAGAACTTTAAAAATGCTAGGCGACCACTCCTACAGTTATGTTATGCTATGTGGCAAAAGGGATTTTTGCAGCTGCAATTAAGGTCCCTGATCAGCTAAATTAATCAAAGGGGAGATTGTCCTGGGTGGGCCTGATCCAATCAGGTGATCTCTTGACAGAACTATGAAAGCCGTTAGAGCGATGAGCTTCTAGTTAGCCTGAAAGAAACCAAATATCTATGTGTGAACCGCCTGTTGGGGCCAGGTGGCCGGGAGCTTCAGATGGCTTTAAGGAGCTGACAGTGGTCTCAGTTGAGAACTAGCAAGACAGCAGGGACCTCAGTCATATGCCACAAGTAAATAAATATGTCAACAGCTGGTGAGCTTGGAAGAAGACCCTGATCCTCAGTTCAAAATGCCATCCCTGGCCAATACCTTGATTTCATCCTGGTGAAATCCAGCAGAAAACCTACCTAACCTGGACCCTGATCTGAATGCATGGAAACTGTGGGATAGGAAATCTGTGTTGGTTTAAGCCACCGAGTTTGTGGAAGTTGTTACGTAGCAGTGGAAGATGAATGCATATCTTGTGTTTCAGAGGAAGCGTGCGTTCTTCTGTTCTGTGCTGTCAGCCTGGCCACATTAGGAAAAACCAAGCAGAGGAAACACACTAAGTTCCTAAGGATGGTTGGTCCAGTGAGAATACAGGTGCTGTCTGGCTGGAATCCCAGGGCTGGGGTCCTAGCCCATCCCAAACATCCAGCTTTCTTGGCCAGTATGTTCTTATAGAGCTAGACTCAGGTGAAGCCAGGAAGTCAGGGCAGAGCTGTGTTATGCAAAGGCCCTGCTTGGGGTCAGAAGGTCTGGTTCTTGCTCCTGCACTGTGTGAACCTGAGATGGTTACTCTCCCTCTCTGGGCCCAAGTTTCCTCATTGGCAAATGGAGTGGTGATGCTTAATGAGATACTTCATTAATGACAAGTGTTGCAAGCTATAAATGACCAGGCAGATTGCTACAACAGGTGAAATCCCAATAGAATAACTTCACAAAAGCTGAGCTGATGGAATATAGGTTGATACGCCCTCAATAACATTTCTAATAAGAGAAAAAATGCCCACATGTGTTGCCAATTTCATCATGGCACCACATCGCCTGGGTATTTCCCAAGACCATAAAGTGGGTGAGACCCCTTTATTCTTACCTGTAACAGGGCCACCAGGATTTTTTTTAGGTTCCCACTTGTATCATCTTTGATATCTGACTCAAGGCTTCTGTCAAATACTTTTGAACAAGAAAAAAGAAGGGGGAGAAAGCAAAAGATTTATTTTCCTACGAATCGGGCTGCGAACCTTAAGGTCAGCGGTTTGAAACTACCAGCCACTCTGCGGGAGAAAGATGAGGCTTTCTACTCCCGTAAAGATTTACACCCTCGGAAACCCAGTACAGGGTCGCTATGGGTCGGAACCTACTCAACAGCACTTAACAACAACAACAATTGTGGAATAAACACTTCCTTTTTTGCTTGGGGTAAATCTATACATCACAAATTATTTGCCTTTTCAACATTCTTTACATGGTGTTCATCATGTTGATCATGTTGTCCCACCATTACCATTATCTGTTTCCAAATTTGCCATCATTTCTTACAGAAGCTTTGTGTCCTCTCAGCAATAAGTCTCCCTCCCCTGCACCCCACCACTGACCCAAGCCACCACTGGCCCACTTTAGGAAATGAATGTCCTTCATCTAAACTCAGAACAAGAGGTCACTTACGCCGTTGGTAGGCCTCCTTAATGGCAACAACTTCCTAGGAAAGGTAATAAAAAAAAAAAATCAATACTCTAGGGTGGGACAAATCAATAAGAGACACAGAAATATACAGACTGAAGAGGCATAAACAATCAATACTCCAAGATGGGGTGAATCAGGAAGAGCCCCAGGGACATGCAGAGAGAAGAGGCAACACAGAAATATACAGACTGAAGAGGCAGAAACAATCAATACTCCAATATGGGGTGAATCAGGAAGAGCCCCAGGGACATGCAGAGAGAAGAGGCAGGAACCAAGTCTGGGATATTGCCTTCTTGGCTTCCTCCTAAGAGGGCCTTCCCTGAGGATCAGGGCTAGGGCTGGAGCAAGCCCCTGAGGTGTGAAGGGACTCTATACAAACATTTCAACCCACACAGTACTGGATGTGCAAAGGAACTATTAACATCTAAGTCAATGCTTCTTTGAACACATCCTCACCGTATTTCCCCTTCCTCCCCCCCACTCCCTCTACACACCTGTCCTCCTCCAGGTAACCAGTGTTGGGAGTTCAGTGTACACCTCCCCAAGTGCTTTTTGCTTTGTATTTGCTTGCTCCATTTGAATACATATATACATACTGCTGAGAACATACAGAGTTATACTGTGTGTATGCTATGTGTTTTAAAAGTGGACAGCTGCACGTATCATTCTGTGACTCATTTTTCATTCAATATTATGTCTTGGAGATCCAGCTAGGTTTGTGCATAGCCACCTAGGCTTTTAAAGTATTGCATCCTACAATTAGCCTCAGTCGATGGGCATTGATGGGCATTTGGGTTGTTTTCCAATTTTTCTCAACTTCAAACAAAGCTTCTTTCAGCACGCAACCTGCTTCTGCAAGGGTTTAAACTTCTCTGTAAGAGGTGTTGTTGTTTGCAGCTACCATTGAGTCAGAGCTGACTCACAGTGACCCTGTTTTCAATGGAACAAAACACTGCTAGGTCTTGTGTCATCCCCATGGTAGGCTATGGACCTCATTCTTGTGACCCACAGGGTTTTCCTTGATTGATTTTCAGAAGTAGCTCTCCAGGCCTTTTTCCTAGTGTGTTTTAGTCTGTTGAAACCTATTCCACTTCATAGCCACACAAAACCTTCCAGTGACAGTCTGTGGGGGATGTGCATGAAGTGAACTCCAACCTGTTGTTGTTAAGTGGTGTTCAGTCAGTACCAACTCATAGCAATCCTGTGTAGGATTTCCAAGGAGCGACTGGTGGGCTTGAACCACCAACCTTGTGGTTCAAATCGTGCATTCATCCAACGTACCACACCAGGATTCTGACCTGGAAGTTGAGAATTCTACCATTGAACCACCACTGGGAGAACTGCTTTCCATTTCTAGGGTGTGTGCCAAGTTGTGCATTTCAGAAGCTGGACCGGCAGAGTAAGAGCAGGTGGTTCCCATGGGACACCCTGCAAGCTGGCTAAAATGGGTAGAAATAGGGATGGCCATAGACAGCTATAGAAGGTGAGGAGTCTGGCTGCTTTGCTCTGATGACTGGGAGGAAGGAGAAGACTAGTAGGGGCTGACCACTTGTGTTTCTCTAGCTCCCTCCCTGGTCTCCTCCTGCCAGCCGATTTCCAGAATCTGCTCATCACAAGCCAGCAATTTCTTATCTTTTCCATCAGATCTATCTAACTGAAAAAGTCACAGTTGTTGGTTGAGGCCAGAACATGAACAACAACAACAAAACAATCTAGGTCAAGGGGAAAAAAAATCTGTGGTCAAAGAGGATTGGAAAAATAATGATGAAATTAACCGTGTTGCCAAGACCCACTAGTTACTGTAGAGACTCAGTGTGTCAGAGTAGACCCCTGCTCTCTATAAGGTTTCCAGTGGCTGATTTCTTGGAAATAGATTGTTAGACACTTGTGGGTGGACTCGAACCTCCAGCCTTCCAGTTAGCGGCCAAGCACACCCCCTGCCACAGAAGGATTTACTCTAGAGGTCTCAGTGCATCTGGGAAGGATAAGCATTGAGTAGGGAAAGGGGTGTCTGTGATGGCTCTCAGCTGAGGCAGAACCCCAACCTGAAACTTCTTGAGATGGAGATTGTTTTCATCATTCTGAGGGAAGAAGTCCACAGTGCTTAGAAAAGGGCTTAGAGGTTGAGGCTAGAGCTCTGGGCACCTCAGGAAACGTGAGCAAACAATGGTACAGGCTGAGTTGAGCAGAGTGGAATGAGCCACTCCAGGAGGGTAACACTCAAGCCTTAAAGAACTGTTTAGCGTCAGAATCCCATTTCATTAGCTTTCCTCATTGCCTTCTCCAAATACTGCTTCTGTTTCTTATTGGGGGCTTCAAGAATGTCAGGATTCTCTGGCATTTTCCCCATTCAGCTGTGATGGGTGGTTGTGGAGGAGAAAGGGGTCTCCTATTAGTGATCTGTGGCTCTTGTGGTTTTCAGAATCTAAGACCAATGTGCTTCCACTGGGACCTTAACAAATGTTCTTTCCAGCTCCTGAAATGGAGGGACAAGGGGGGAGGTGTGCTGACAGATGGATGCAGAAGTCGGTGGAGAGGAGCTGGTACCATGTGGAGCCTCTCTGCCCACCATAGTCTTCTTTGTATTTTGCATTAGATGAATGCCATGGACGAAGCAGCTATACGAATATGCTTGGATTGCCAAATGCATCTTTCATTCCAGAAGACCTGCAAAGGTAGACTGGGAGGGGTGGAGAAGAATCTTTCCTCCTGCACATAACTCTTTGTATCAGTTTAGAAAGACAAGACTTGGATGGACCAGCTCTTCTGGAGAGGACATTTCTCTGCCAAGGTCCAAGGAGCTGCAAGACCAAGACTCACTTTTGGGAGACTGGAAGAGGCATCTGTCCTGTGTGGGTCTTGCAGACTTGCTTTTGCCCAGACACTTGCTCATCCCATGAGTAGAATTCAGGGAGAATTACCTTCTGCTTGAAGCATCTCTCTGATGGGTGTATGGACTCTCTCCCCCTGGGAGCAGAGACTGAGGGCTTGGCTGGGACTTACCTTATTGGATCCTGTGCAGAGGACCTCGATAAGCACCGCCTCGTCTGTGCCCAGACCCTTCATGGCCTTCTGCAGCAGCCGGGCAGCATACTCGCTGGGGCGGTCCAGAAGGGCCAAGGCTGTCTTCTCAAAGTTTCCACTCAGCTCACTCTTGAGTACCTCCTCCAAGTCCTGTAGGGACACAGTGAGAGACAGGCTTGGGAATAGCCCCAGAGGTCAGGGACACAGAGGGAAACATCCTACCAGGAAGGATACAACTATGAGAGACCTGTTCTTGAGGGGAAAGTCACAACTGCTAATCAGAGCTAGAGACCACTGGGGCAGATTCACAATAACCACTATTTAAGCTCTGGTAGCATAGTGGTTATGAATCAGGCTGTGAACCGCAAGGTCAGCAGTTCGAAACTACCAGCTGTTCCGCGGGAGAAAGATGAGGCTTTCTGTTCCCGTAAAGTTCTACAGCCTTGGAAACCCTGTACAGGGTTGCTATGAGTCGGAACTGACTCCACAGCACACAACAACAACAAATTTATATGATACTATACGGTTCATACCAAGCTTCCTTGGTTAGTCCTTAAGACAGCCTTGTGAGGCTAAAAGGAGACAGTAGATCAGCCTTATCCTTGCTGACTGAACCTCAGATAGATGAAGGATTTGCCTCAAGGCACTCAACTAGACAGGACTGAAAACCAGTTCTGTTATCTCTAGGGTGACCAGATCATTTATCATGCAAATTGGGATGCTTTCCAGGGAGAACACAAAACAGGAAACCCTGAAGAAGAGAGTAAGAATTGCTCCATTGCATTTCTGACCAGATTGTTTCCTCTTTTCTTTGCAGGGCCTGGGAAGTTCAAACTGCTGGCCTTTCAGTTAACAATCCACTGCATCACCAGGGATCCTTTAGAGACTGAAAGAGGGTACTATTGGTCACCGCAGGAGGATACAGTATTGTTACTGTCTGCTGCTTAAAAGAACTTCAAAAGAACTGCTGAGCTCTGGGCCTGGGGAAAAACCTAAAAGATTTTTGTTTGTGGCCCTGGAGCCACAGTCTTAAAAGTTGACTGCAACAGAACGATTGTGTTCCCTTAGAGGAGCCTGGTGGTGCAGTGGTTAAGCGCTTGACTGCTAACCAAAGTCATGGTTTGAACCCACCAGCTGCTTCATAAGAGAAAGAAATGATGGTCTGCTTCCATCCAGATGCCAGCCTTAGAGACTCTGTGGGGTCGTTCTTTTCTGTCCTGTGTGGTCCCTGTGACTTGGAATCCTCTTGACGCCAGTGGATCACATGAGGGCATGATTTCTTAGAAGCCTACAGTTAGCACTGTGTCCCATGAAACCTTTGGTCTGTACTCTTTGATGTGGATTCATCCAAAGGCGAGAAATATTTTTAGAGACAAGGTGGGCATTACCTAGAAAATCAGCAGTTCAAGCCCACCAGTTGCTCTTCAGAAACCCTATACAGGGTCGCTGTGAGTCAGAACTGACTCGACAGCACTTCACAACAACAGAGAAAGAAGTCCCAGCTACCCGCTCTTACCAAACCCTCACGTGTTTACATTTTGTTTGGACAGAGAAACAAGCTGAAGCAAACCTCCCCCCAGTGCTGAGTTCTCTGCTAACAAGTTCTGCTTCCTAGGGTGGATATAGTCTTTAGAGCTGTCTGTCGTCTGATAGGAGGGCATGGTGTTGCTCAACTCTAACATTTTCTGGTTTCATGATTTTATAGTTCTAGGCCATCTGTCTGACAATCTCAGTGATCTGAAGCACTGCTGAGTCCAAGGTCTAAAGAGATTTTTATGGATCCGTGATCAACAGCAAAGATGTCACTTTGAGGATTAAGGTGTATCTGACTCAAGCCATGGTATTTCCAGTAGCCTCACATGCTTGTGAAAGTTGGACAGTGAATAAGGAAGACTGTAAAAGAATTGATGCATTTGAGTTATGGTGTTGGAGGAGAATATTAAAAGTACAAAACTGCCAGAAAAACAAAGGAATCTGTGTTGGGAGAATTACAATCAGAATGCTCCTTAGAAGCCATCCTTGGAGAAGAACATAATGCATGGGAAAAGAGGAAGCCCCCCTGCCCCCCAAATGAGATGGATTGGCACAGTGGCAGCAGCGATGGGCTCAAGAGTAACAATAATTGCGAGGTTGGCATAGGACTGGGCAGACAGTGTTTTGTTCTGTGCATACGGTCACTATAAATCAGAGCCAACTGGATGGCACCTAACAACAACAACTGTGTTAAATACCGGTATACAGTGGCTCTGTAGGATAAGCACTACACTGAGAACCAAAAAGTCAGCAGTTCTAGCCCAATGGCTGCTCCTTAGGAGAAAAATGAAGCTTTCTGCTCCAGTAAAGATTTACAGACTCAGAAACCCTATAAAGGGTTGGAACCTAATCGACAGCACTTACAAAGTGTTAAATAAAGGAGTGTTGGTAGTACAGTAAGATAAGTTTTGGGAGCTCTGGTAGCGTAGTGGTTACGAATCGGGCTGCGAACCTTAAGGTCAGCGGTTTGAAACTACCAGCCGCTCCGTGGGAGAAAGATGAGGCTTTCTACTCCGGTAAGGATTTACACCCTCGGAAACCCTGTACAAGGTCGCTATGGGTCAGAACCGACTCGACGGCACTTAACAACAACAACAACAACTGAAAAGTCTGTGATTTGAACCCATCAGCAGCTCCATGGGAGAGAGCCGAGGCAGCCACTCCTAGTAAAGATTCGGCCTTGGATACTCTCGAGAGCAGTTCTAGGTTGGACTCTAGAGGCGCTAGGAGTCGGAATCCACTCAACAAGTAACTTGTTGTTATTGTTAAGTGCCATCGAGGTGGTTCCGACCCATAGCGACCCTGTATAGGGTTTCCGAGGAGCGGCTGGTGAGCTTGAACCACTGACCTTGTAGTTCAAATGGCTTTGCAGTCTGGTGCATTAACCCACAGCTCCACACCAGGACTCACTTGGAAAAGCTAATTCTATCTTTATCTCTCTGTTTATACATACAGTGATTGAACCTGCAAATGGATTAGAATGCAACTAGATTATTGCTTAACAATAACACATATGACATATATAAAGGTTACCTCCTACCCATCATAGATTGATAAGGAAACATGAATGCCTCATGTATATTCCACGTACTTTAAGATTTCAGTACATAACAGCAATAAATAAGTAAAGCAAGGAAATAAGGGAAGAAATGAAAAGACAAGGAAAAGAAGGAAGGAAGAGGTTTTGATACCTACTGAAATGGAGGTATTCCAATTTTCTCTGACAGTCACTTGTAAAGAATACCTCATTTCCAAAGACAGCTGAATCCGTGAAAAATTCCTGTATATTTTAAATGTACCTGTGAAAAACTGATTTTCAAATTACTGGCCTATCTGAAAATTGCCATGTGGAATTAGTCCTACTAGAGTGGAAAAGCGATTCAAGGGTTAATAGAAACATGAAGTTAATTTTTAAATAGTGAGAGGCTATTGATTTTACAGACGATGAAGCTAACAACGCAATGTTTGCTACTCTGGAGTCTATGAAAGTTTCAGCCTTGGGAACCCTCTGGGAGCACTTCGGGGGTGGGGCGGACACAGGACACAGAGGACCTGGGAGTCACCTTGCCATAGGTTGCCTTGTACTTGTTCTTTATTTGTTGCCGCTGCTCCGAAGTCCTGCTGGATAAGATGTCGATGATGGCAGCCTCATCGGTTCCTGGAGTGCGGAGGAGAAAGAAACAAAGTCACAGTGAGCAAGAAACAAGATGCATGCTGGCTTCAGTCATGTCTGGAGAAGCCAGGCCTCACAGTATACAGACCAGAGACTTGGGCGGAGCCCAGATGGATCCTTTGGCACTAGTCTTGTAATGAAATCAGTATTCTCTTCACTCACTCAGAACAAATACCCATCGAGCCCCCACCATGTATAAAGCACAGTGGAGGAAAGCAACCTGAGCGTGGTCTGTTCCTGACTCCACTCTCAGGATGTCATTGTTCTTCTTATGTGCCTCGGAATCGGTTCTGACTCATAGCCACCTTGTATAGGGTTTCTGCGGAGCAGCTGGTAGGTTTTGAACAACTGATCTGTGGTTAGCAGTCCAGTGCGTCTCCTACCATACCACACCATCTAGATCCATATCTGTGTCAGTCTCTGTATGTATGGACTCCTGGTGTGGCGCTGTAGGGTAAGCACTGGACTGTGAATCAAAATGTCGGCAGTTTAAACCCACAGTTGTTCCTTGCAGTGAGTCAGAATTGACTGGATAACACTTAACAATTGAACAACAACATCTGTATCCACAGACATAGACATGATCTACCTATCTAGAACCCTGGTGGTACAACAGTTAAGTGCTCAGCAGCTAACCTCAGAGTTGGGAGTTGGAACCCACTCAGAGGCTCCTGGAGATGTGAAAGATCTCTCTGCTTTTGTCAAGATTAACTCATTGTCTTTGAGTGAATTCCTGGTCGTAGTGGCCCTAGGGGACACAGTAGAAGTGTCCCCTAGGGTTTCCAAGGCTGTCCATCTTTACAGAAGCTGATTGCTTCTGAGCGGGGAAGCACGGTGCCACCAGGCTCCTTTCCATAAAGAAACACCCATGAGGAAGTTCTACTCTGTCACATGGGGATGCTAGGAGTTGGAATTGACTCAACAGCTCTCAACAACAAGAAGAGAAATGAAAACATCTGTCCACAAAGGATTATGTCCACAGATGTTCATAGCAGCATTTCTCATCTTATCCAAAAAAAAAAAAGTAGAAATAATACAAACATCCATCAGCTGATGAATAGACCAAATTAAACCCATTGCCACTGAGTTGATTCTGGCTCAGAGTGCCCTGGTTGTACAGTGGTTAAAGCATTCCGCTGCTAACCGAAAGGTCTAAGGTTCGAATCCTCCAGCCCTCCCTGAGGAAAGTTGTGGCTGTCTGCATCCATAAAGATCACAGCCTCGGTAAACCCTATGGGGACAGTTCTATTCTGACACATAGGGTAACTAGGAGTCAGAAATGAGGTAGTAGCCATACAATGGAATATTAATTGGCCATGAAAAGAAATATAGTTCTGATACATGCTACAATGTGGATGACACTTGAGAACAACATGCTAAATGAAAGAAACCAGTCACAAAAAGACCACATATTATTTGATCCAAGAGACAGTTGTTCGAACAGAACATGGTAACACTGAATGGTTTAAAATTAAGAAAGGTGTGCGACAGGGTTGTATTTTTTTTTTACCATACTTAGATTCAACCTGTATGCTGAGCAAATAATCTGAGAAGCTGGGTTCTATGAAGAAAAACGTGGCATCACGTTTGAAGGATTGAAGGATGACTCATTAACAACCTGCACTATGCAGATGATACAACCTCGCTTGCTGACAGTGAAAAAACATTTACTGATGAAGATCAAAGAGCACAGCCTTTAGTATGGATTGCATCTCAATGTAAAGGAAACAAAAATCCTCACCATTGGACCAATAAACAACATTCTTATCAACGGAGAAAGATTGAAGTTGTCAAGGACTTCATTCTTCTTGGACCAACTATCAACACTCATGGAAGCAGCAGTCAAGAAGTCAAATGACGTATTGAATTAGGCAAATATGCTGCACAAGACCTTTTTAAAGTGTTGAAGAGCAAAGATGTCAGCTTGAGGACTAAGGTGTGCCTGACCCTAGCCATGGTATTTTCAATAACCTCATATGCATGTGAAAGCTGGACAGTGAATAAGGAAGACCATAGAAGAATTGGAGCTTTTGAGTTATGGTGTTGGAGGAGAATATTGAAAGTGCCATGGGCTGCCAAAAGAACCAACAGATCTGTGTAGGAAGAAGTGCAGCCAGAGTGCTTCTTAGAGGCCAGGATAACCAAACTTTGTCTTTCATATTTCAGACATATTGTCAGGAGGCACCAGTTGCTGGAGAAGGATATTGTGCTTGGTAGGGTGGCAGGTCACAGAAAAAGAGGAAGACCTCCGGCGAGATGAACTGGCAAAGTGGCAGCATCAACGGGCTCAAACGTGGCAACAATAGTGAGATTGGCCCAGGATTGGGCAGTATTTCGTTCTGCTGTGCTTAAGGTCGCTATGAGTCGGTACTGACTCGATGGTACCTAACAACAACAACAATATTATTGTTTCTAGGTTGCCAGAAATGGTCCAGCCAACATGCCCTTAAAAATGATGTTGTAGTGAATGTTAAAGCTAGATGAGCCTGAATGAAGAGAGCTCACTTCTTCCTGGACGTAGCCATGAAAAGCTAACGAGAAGTAGAAATACAAGAGGAGATGGGAGTAGCCCATGCACAGCTACTTCCTATGTGTCTTTGAAACATTCATAGGAAATTGACATGTTGTCTGTGTGAAGAATGAGAGCCTTGTAGTAGTTAAATCAGAATAATTCTTAAGATATGATCTTTGCCATCAAAAACCTTCTATATTCTACAACTAGCGCCAAAAAGACATATGTGGTCACAATACTATGGAGATATGTTCATTGTAATGAGGGAGCTACACAAAGCCTTCAAATAGGACGAGAAACATCAAGAAGTAGAAACTGAATCCATAAACTATAATACTGAGTACTTATTGGGCACATCAGACGTAAAACAGGCAGGAAGTGGGTAGGTAAGAACTTGAAGAAATGTACATGTCAATTTTAGCACAAATTTTAATAACATTTTCATAACATTTATTGCACATATTTTTGGAATATACTAAAAACCATTGACTTGCATACTTCAAGCAGGTGAATTTTATCACAATAAAGCTGAGGGGGGTGTGTTGTTGTTGTTGTTAAAGTATGACCTGTTTCTTGACCATTAAGTATTTACAATTGAGTGAAGAGACCAAGGCTTGAGTCATATTTGGAAAGACAGCACGGTTATTAAGAAATCTCTGAGCTAGCAGTTTGGAGACTTGTGTTCTGGTCCTGGCATTACTGCTAGTTCTGTGTCCTTGGACCAGTTACTTAACCTCAAGAATATTTCCACCTGTAAAATTCTGGGAAGAGGGAGCAGCTGAGGACTCTAGATTCGTGGAAAGAGAAGGACTGAGAGCTGGTGGCCAGGAGGCAGACTTGCAGAATGTGCCCTTTGGTGGTGTAAATTATTATATATGCCTGAGTGTTAAAAAAAAAGAGCTAAAATGAGTATAGAGAAATACTGTTAACTGATGGTACATGGAGGGGATTATAATCATTGTAATGAAACAGAGTATATGATTTGTTGAATGTAAAACTGCTAATCTGCTCCGTAAACTTTCACTCAATTCATAATAAAAACTTTAAAGACTCCAGCTGGAGAAACAGAACCTTCTTAGCATGAGCTCTCTTGCTTAAACAGTAGGAGTTAATTGGCTGTCTCCCCCTGACTCTGATCTGAGCACTGTTAATTAATGTTGTTCCTCTGCATTTCCTCCTGAAACCTGTCTCCAGTAAAGTGGATCCAGTTACTTCCTATGTGACTTTATCTTTCTTCAGCTTCTGAGTGTCAGAGTCTCACCATAGCAGCAGGGATTTCATTTCTAGTAAATGTCTCTCCCAGAGCCCCCTGTTGTTGACACTCCCAGCAGGCTGTCCCTTCCCTGCATTCTGTCCCAGAACTCAGGGGTCCTCGCTGGCTCTCTCTCCCCACAGTCAGTGAGCTGCCTTGTGATTGTTGCCATCAATGTGATTCAATGGTAACCACTAACTTAAGGTTGTCGGTCTGCTTTCACAAAGATTACAGCCAAGGAAACCGTGTGGGGCAATTCTAGGTACATATGGGGTTGTTATCACCATATGGTTGTTAAGTACATTGGGTTGGTTCTGACTCATAGTAATGCTGTATAGGGTTTCCGAGGAGCAGCTGATGGCTTTGAAACACCAGTCTTGTGGTTAGCAGTACAGTGCTGACACTATGGGACCACACCAGGAGTCCAATCAGCCACATTTGTTATTGTTGCTAAGGGCTGTCAAGTCAATTCCGACCCATAGTGACCCTGTATAGAATTTTCAAGGAGCAGCTGGTGAGCTTGAACCCCTGACCTTGCAGTTCAAACGGCTTTGCAGTCTGACGCATTAGCCCACAGCACCACACCAGGACTCCATCAGCCACATTAAGACTCTGGTAGTGTAGTGGTTATGAATCAGCTGTGAACCGCAAGGTCAGCAGTTTGAAACTACCAGCTGTTCTGCAGGAGAAAGGTGAGGCTTTCTGCTCCCGTAAAGATTTACAGCCTTGGAAATGCTATACAGGGACACTATGAGTCAGAACGGACAAGGCACACAACAACAACAACAATATTTTCCCTTCTTTACTATCTCTCAAATCCCCCTATTTCTCTCCATCCTCTACCACATCTCCCAGCTGGCCCACTAATGTCCCCACTCCAGGGGTGCCGCCTCCCTCTCACCACTTCCAGCCAGCATCCCCACTGAAGTCAGAGGAACCTTTCAGAAGTGCCATCAGCCTGGTCACTCCTTCACACTTTTACATATAACCCTGTTCTTGTTAAGTCGATTCCAGCTCATAGTAAGCCTAGAGAACACTGTCAAACTGCCCATCCAGTTTCCAAGATTGTAAATCTTTATGGAGACAGACTGCCGTATCTTTCTACGGCTGGTGGGCTCAAACCACCAACCTTTCTGTTAGCAGTGGAGTGCTTTAACCACAATGCCACTAGGACTTCCCTTTTAAACCACTCACAGCCATGAGTTGATACTGACTCCTACC